AGTAATTTGTCCAAAAAAAAAAAAGTTTTAAATTTAGTATTTACTATTGAGAGATTCTACGGTCCCGTCCACAAGGACGGACCTGTATTAGGCCCAGGGGGCCCGTGGGCCCCCCTCAGTTTTTTCTTAAAACTATTATATATATATATAAATACTATAAAAATGAATAAAAATGTAAAAAAAAATATGTAGAATATATAAATAATTAAAACTTATCCTCAATGTTATTTTATTTTAAAGTAAATAATATTATTATTTATTGAAAACTATATACTAACAATAATTATATTTTACATTTTTGGATAAAATTTTGAAAATATTTATAATAATTTAACTATTTCGGCCTTTTAATTGTAATTTCAATTTATTGATTTATAAAACTTAGAATTTAGTTGGATTGTTAGATTTTTGAATGTTAATCGATTGTATATTTGAATATTGATTTTTTACTTTATTATTTTTTATGTAATCACATACAACTTTATTTAATTTTTATTAAAAAAATGGTCATTTGATAAGGTCTAATCAACAAAAATTATATGCAATGTGTTCAAATTAAATTAAATTTTGAACAAAAAAAACTTATTTTTCATAAATTATAGATCTTAAACTTAAATTATTAATACACGAAATCTCATTTTTTTCTTAAAAAAAAAAGTTTGATGGTGATATGGTTCTAAGTTCTTATAAAAACTTGAAGGTACAAATATTAATATCTATAATTATAAGTAAACACAACTTTATATGAAATGAGCGTGTCTACGTAAACTACAAACTCGTGATTTAACACTTAAAATCGGGCCCCCTGAGTTAAAATCCTAGCTCCGTCACTGCCCGTCCATGACGGTTACATAATGATCTAACCGTTACAAATACCGACGAGATTGTTTCGTAACAGAATTGTAGCATTTTTCTTTACTATTTACTAAATTGATCTGATGAAGAGTGGAAGACCATCATCGTGGATTGCGTGCATCCGTTAAAACAGCTTGAACGGAATATGGGCGTTACCATTTTTTTCATGGATTTAGTTTCGCTACAAATTACGTTTGTCAACCATAAATAAACGAGGCACATTTTTATGTATATACACTTTACACCATGTTTTCCATAAATGTTATGTTTGTATTTGCCATAAACTTAATGCGTAGGTAATTGTGTGGTCCTACCCGCCTCGATTTTGGATTAGTCGGTTTCCTGTGGATCCGAAAACTGGAAGGTCCCTGTAAAAAAAAAAGTATACATTTTTAAGTTAAAATATAATATTATATAAATAACATAAATAAAAGTAGGATTTTTTATAATATAAATATGCACTTTTGTTAAAATAGTAAGATGAATCATTATGGCTCGTGTACACAAAAATTGTGATTTGGATGATAGATCCATCATATTTTAATATCTAGAGTTGTTAGACGAACCAATCCGCTCGTGGACTTGGTTAGTTAAGGGATTGATTGTTTATTAAATAATTTGTTTAAAATGAGTTATCTATATCTATATCTATATATATATTAAAAGCCAACCTATTTACCAAAAATAGTAGCAAGAAAAGTCAACACACATTTAATGCAAACCTTATTTGGAAATTTTTTATTATATGCATTAAATGCTTGCATATTTACATTTACTATCCAGATACGATTTCAAAGATTTTTTCCCTAAATAATTTATCCAATGATTTTACTGATGTCCATTATAATTAATATTTGTCGAGTAATATTTTTTAACTTTTATTTAATTATATAAAATTATTATTTTTTTAAAAAAATTAATATTATTTATCATTTAAAAGATAATGATCACATCATTAAATGATTTTATTGATGGTTAGATAATAAAATTATATTAGTTATTCTTTAAAATTTCGACATGTTATTTATTTGTATATTATTGTCAACTATGATAGTGTTTTTATCACTTTTTTTTGTTATGTTTCAAAAATGAACTTATTGTAAAATATTTTTCTATTGCATTGTATGTTAACTAAACTATAAAGCCTTAGGATGAAAATTAGAAAAAATCTCTTGATTATGTAAGGAATTTATTTTTTGGCAATTGCTAAATTACTTTTTTTTTTTAAAAAAAAGAATTATTATGAGAAAATTGAATTCTAAAAAACATGTGTGTGTGTATTTTGTAAACATTTATACTCAAAATTTTATTTTGAATTTCATTACATAAAGAAAACTACTTCTAACTTTTATAAATAATAATAATGACATTATATGACTATAAATTTTATAATAAAATAATAATGAAGTATTATATGGTGAACGAAAATAAATAAAATTTTTATTTTTTCTTATATCAATGAATAAATAAGTATTCTAAAATCAAATAAATATTAGTATGACGCGTTAGCAGAATTATATATTAATTAACATGTTAATTTTTTGGCTTAAATAAACGCCACTTATTAAAAGATGTGAAATATGGATGATCCAAGCCTATTATTTTTTTGTCTAGAAGTACAAGTCCTATAGAAATAATTGATTTATCATATGTATCACGTGCATCGCACGGGGTATGCACTAATAAATGACCTTAAAATTGTGCACCCGTGCATCACCCGTGTTCACATTTTGGCCTATTACAGGTCACGTACTATATATATCCCGTACATTTTTTTTATTCATTTATATGATTATAAGAATGGATAGATGACCTTAAAATTGTGCACCCCGTGCATCGCACGGGCTCTGTACTAGTTTTGGTTAACTATAGTTAATTTTGAAAAAAACTATATGGTTGGTTGTTAGTGGAATTTTAAAAATGTATTAAAATAATATTTAAAATAAAATTATTAAAATTGATTTGATGTAAAAGTAAGAGATAAATAATTGAAAATGATAGGTAGTTAAAATTATGTGAGTGACCGCGCGTCGCAACGCGGCAAAATTAAATTTATATTTTCCTTAACTAACCTCTACTAACTAGAAGTAGTGGCGAGCAAGGGTCGAACCCACAGGGAGTGTGAATCCAATTGTGATATTTTTGTATTAATTGAAATTATAAAAGCAATAAAATAGGGG